ACTTACCAGCCCCATCAGTCTTTATTTAGATAAAAATTACTGGAAGTTCCTTTACTCCGATACACCTAGGGGCTGGAGATTCTGTAAAGGAAACTCTCAGTCGGCTTCAAGACAGCCAAGGTCGGTCTCAGAGCCTTTCTGGTAAATACAAGTTCCATTAGCTACCAGCTCAGGTACACATTACGGATACTCTTTCAGGCTCTTCCTGGTCCTACTGCTCACATCCCATCTGTAAACAAACTCAACTTTTGATTCCACATTTAATATGTGCACCCACAAACTACTCAAACCAGGGGTGCTGGCACAGAATCCTCAAACTTAGGAGCCTAAGGAAGAGGCTTACTTGCAAATTCAAGGCCACCCTGGGCTACAGTGAAACCCTGCTTTGAAAAACAAAACAAGGATGGCCAGCAAGATGGCTCAATGAATAAAGGCACTAGCTACTGAGCATGACTACCTGAGTCTTATCCCTGGAATCCAGGTGGGGAGGAGAAAGCCTATTTCTGCAAGTTGTACACACACACACACACACACACACAGAGAGAGAGAGAGAGAGAGAGAGAGAGAGAGAGAGAGAGTAAAATCAATCAAACAAACAAACAAACAAAACCCCCACAAAACTATTCTCTTCATTTCCTTGCTCCAATATAGAAATCTCCAGGCCTCAAGACTGCAAGTGTCCCATAGCTGACCCATGCGTCTATCACTGTGCACAGTAGTCAGGACAGTGACCGTTTACAAGACAAAACCAACCATGCTTTTCCAAGTCAAGGCACTCAACAGTCTTCCATCTCATGTAGAATAAAATCCAGTGTTCCAGCGCAGTCACACCTCGGTGATCTTTGACCTCATCTTCCTTCCAGCGCACAGAACATCCTAGTCTCTGGGCCCTGCTTACTATTAATGGAACCTGTGAGGCATGTGAATTCCTTCTGGCCCATTCCCACCCTTTTGTCTACTTGGCTAAAAATGTATGTCTCCTTTACAGTAGTTCAGTAATTATCCCTAGCATAGGTGTGGATTTTGGGAGCCCAATCCACACAGAGGAATACTCCCTTAGCCAAGACACTCAGGGGGTGGGCCTAGGCCCTATCCCAAAGGATATGATAGACTCTGATGACCCTCTATGGAAGGCTTCACCCTCCCTGGGGAGCAGAAAGGATATGTGATAGCTAGAGTTTTAGTTGGGAGTGGTAGGGGAGGAGGGGAGGGAGTGGGAACTGGGAGTGACATGTAAACCAATCTTGATTCTAATTCAAATTTTAAAAAGACGGAAAAAATATGAAAAAAAAAGTTCTCTGCTGAGAAAAATCCATTTAAAAATGGCTATCTCCGGCCACATAAAAAGACAAAAACCAAAGGGCTAGAGCGATGGATCAGCTGTTAAAAGTACTGGTTGTTCTTCCAGAGGCCCTGAGTTCAATTCCCAGAAACCACATGGTGGCTCATAACCATCTATAATGAGATCTGGTGTCCTTTTCTGCCATGTAGACACACATGCAGGCAGAACACTGTACATAATAAATAAATATATTTTAAAAAAACAATTAAACAAAAAACACTAGCAACTTTTCAGCCTTCTCTGCCTTTTACTTCCTGATTTTTTTTTCCATGTACCTGCTGAGTTGTCATTTATTAACCTGGCTAACTATCTCTCTAAGATGTTCGCTGAAACAAAGCTTTTTCTTTACTGTTGGATTTCAAGCACTTAAAACAGTGTCTGGCCGGGCATTGGTGGTGCACACCTCTTATCCCAGCACTCGGGAGGCAGAGGCAGAGGCAGTCGGATCTCTGTGAGTTCGAGACCAGCCTGGTCTACAAGAGCTAGTTCCACTTCTGCCTCCATAGCTACACAGAGAAACCATGTCTCGAAAAAACCAAAATAAATAAATAAATACATACATAAGCAAATAAATAAATAAGTCAGTGTCTGCTACAATGTGAGGTGGTAAATGAATATAGGGTAATAAGACAAATGGATAAAGAAATAAATGGCTTTCTCAAGATACGTTTCAAGTTCATATCTGGTCCAGTGTCTGTTCTCGAGGTCAACACTAAAAAGGGATGTTATAATAACATTGGGCAGCAATGTCACCTTACCTTACTCAGTTTGGACAAAGTCTTCTTCCCTAATCCACTAACCACCCTTCTCCTGAAGGAACCGGCTTCCCTTTTGGCAGCCATAATGGTCGAACATGTGCTTCTCTGACCTTGACCTAGACACTAGAAAGTCAGATGCCTGTCGCGTGACAGGGAGCCAATCAGAAGTTACCTGGTGGCGCTATGCTTTACGACCCTGGGTGTGCTTTACGGACAAGCGCACGACAATGACGTAGAGAGCATAGCAACCACCCTGGGAGGGCCTATGAGCCATAACAACCAGTTGACCAATCAACACAGGGCAAGCCCTCCAAGCCAGGAAGCACACCAATCATGAGCCTGTGCGTAAGCCTGTGCGTACCCCTAGACACTCCCCTTACGCTGCCCTATAAGATCTTTTGGGAGCCCGTAGGAGCCGTCTTTTCTAGCCGTCCACCATGGCAGGTGGGTGAAAGAGCCGAGCTAACATAGGGTTAGCTCGTTAAATTACAATAAAGCCTCGTGCTGTTTGCAGCAAGCTCTCGAATCCGCCTGGTGATTGGGGTGACCGCGAACGTGGCCTGGGACTCTGAATACTTGAGTTTTCGGGGGTCTAACACTCCTAGTCCTCTGACATGAAGGACGCCAATCCACTTTATCTGAATTTATCTTTCCTGAGAATCTGTGAAGAGGTTGCAAGGCCTTGTCAATTTCAACCATGAAGAAGTGTATGTTACTTATTTCACAACCCAAGCAAACATCTGCCGTTAGAAATAACGAAGTTTTGTCTTGGTATGTAGCCTGATAGCACAGGACAATAATCAGATTTGCTAAAGTTATGATTTCCTGTTGGCTAAATTCAATTAGTAAAAGGAAGCGGATTGAGACTCTGCAGATGGAAACCGAAGTAAGCTGTGGCCTGCACAAGCACTTGTATTTTACGTTATATGTGCCTTAGCTGCATACAAAGAATTGGGTTTCATTCTGGCATTTCTTTCTATTTGTGTTAGTCATTTCTCTTCCCATCCTCCCCTCCCCTGTTCTATCTCCCCCCTTCCCCTCCCCTCCACCTCCCTCCTCTCCTTCCCATCTCTCATCCTCCCCTGTCCTCCTCTTCCCCTCCCCTCTTCTATCCCCCTCCTCCCTTTCCCTGTCTCCCCTCCTCCCCTGCCTGTTCTCCTCCTCCCTTCCCCTGTCTCCCCTCCTCCCCTCCCTCTCCCCCCCCCCCCTCCCCCCCCCCTCTCTCTCTCTCTCTCTCTCTCTCTCTCTCTCTCTCTCTCTCTCTCTCTCTCTCTCTAAATTCAATT